ACTGCCCTTTACACTGCCCTTTACTACCCCTTACTGCCCTTTGCTGCGCTTTACTGCCTTCTACTGCCCTTTACTGCCTTTTACTGTCCTTGCCTGTCCTTTACTGCCCTCTACTGCCTTGTACTGCCTTCTACTGCCCTTTACAGCCTTTTACTGCCTTTTTCTGCCCTTTACTGCCCCGCCTTTCCCTTGAATCCTAGACCCTTCAACCCCTAGACAGCCAGACCTTTCCCTAGACAAGTCATCGTCGATTGCCCAGGGCTTAAATCCGAATTTAAACCCTAAAAGAGAGAAGGGCATAAATTCGAATTTAAATCTTTCCGGTGGCGCTCGACTGGTGGCCGCTGCTTGGTTCAGAGGTTTAAATTCGAATTTAAGCCATCTGGATGCGATGTCTACTCCCCGCCCGGGAGGGGAATAAATTTGAATTTAATCCTTTTCTAAATTCGAAATCCTGCCTCATCCATACTGCCATTCCCTGCTCGTGTGTAGGGTCCCTGTAAACTCTACGGCAGGGTTTACATTGAGACATGCCAGTTTCTGACCTGAGCAGTATCAATTTGGTTCGTGTTAGTGTTCGGGTTTTTTCGGGTCATAGGTCTAAGGCTATGTAGGTGCTAGAGGTTTAACCTAGATCGAGTCTAGGATGCCCTTGCAAGGACGCCTGAGCTTAGGCTTATCCAGCTACTCTAGGGGTGGCCCTAATGTCGAGCACTCTCATCTGATTCTTTGGAGGCTGTGTTGAGCCCGTTGAGCATCGAACATAGACTTCATGATGTAGTCTCGGTCACCACCTTCCTCCCAAATGCTTCGCGTCTGGAGACCTTCCGGGCAAGAGCTGGCCGTTTGTAACGCAGAGGACTTCAATGATGCAGCGGCTTTGAAGGAGCATCTGTGGGAACTCTGTGGTTTTCCATTGTATTTGCAGCAGCTTTTTGCATGATGGGAATGTACTGGGCGACGGCGCAGAACTGGATGCCTCTATGGATCTGCAGTTGGTGCTGCTGACCATCTCCGACGGCAATGTTTTCCGTTTAGCAAGAGCCGATCTGGCAGATGCTGCTCGAGGAAACTATGATCAAGTGGTCCGTTGTTTGCAAGAAGCTGGTGTTGATAAAGATATCTGCACTGACGGCGCGACAGCGCTGATGCTTGCATCTGAACCTGGTCACATGGAGGTTGTACGCGTGCTACTGAAAGCCGGTGCTGAAAAAGAGTGCACAGATCATCGCGGCATGACAGCTCTGATGCTCGCATCTGACAGTGGTCACTCGGAGGTTGTGCGTTTGCTTTTGGAAGCTGGTGCCAATAAAGACTGCAGGGGACGTGTTGGAAAGACAGCCCTGATGCTCGCATCTGAGAGGGGTCATTTGGAGGTTACGCGTGTGCTTGTGGAGGCTGGTGTTGACAGAGAATGCCGGGGACGTGTCGGGCAGACAGCCCTCATGCTCGGATCTGAAAGGGGTCACTCGGAGGTTGTGCGTTTGCTGCTGGAAGCCGGTGCTTGTAAAAATTGCTGGGATAATGCCACACGCCAGACAGCCCTGATGCTTGCATCTGATCGTGGTCACGTGGAGGTTGCACGCTTGCTGCTGGAATCTGGTGCGGCGAAAGACTGCGTAGAAAGTCATGGCAAGACAGCCCTAATGTTGGCATCGGAGAGTGGCCACTTGGAGGTCAGCAGCAGCAGCAGGCGGCTGACGCCATTGACAGGAGCTCTGCGCTGGTCACTGGGTGTACTTTCTGGTACAAGCGGAAGCAACTCCCCCGGGAGGCCCACCAGCGCCTTCGTTGTCTCTGCGGGCGGCGCGAGCCTTCGCGACCACATCTGATGTGGGTTTGTGAGAGTACAAGGGACCTTCGCCGGGGACTTCGTGTTCCAGACGATCGCTTGGAGGAAAGGTTGCTGGCCATGGCGGTTCCCGAGATCCCACCGGCCCCGGAGGTGATCGACCCACACGGCCTCTACGAGGACATGGCGGAGGTGCTGCAGAAGAAGTTGTCTGAGGGCGCTCCGGTTCTTGTGGCGACGGACGGCAGCGTGGTGGCTACTGTTGCAGCCTGGGCTGTGGTCGCGGGCCTTGATGGCGACGGCGACTTCTCCTTGGGGCTCGATGGCGAGGACCAGACGTCCCATAGAGCGGAGGTTGAGGGCATCCTGGCTCTCCTGCATGGCCTCTCCTTGACGACGGCCAAAGGGATAGTCCATGTGATGGTGGATTGCCAGTCGGCCCTTGAGGTGATTGCTGGTGGTGGTGAGGCTAAGCTACTTTGCAAGCGGGCCAGGGACCTCCTCGATGGTTTGGCGCGCCGAATCGAGGTCCTTTTCTGGTGGGTGCCGTCGCACGGCAAGTGTGCACCAAGCCGGTGGCAGGTTCCACCTTGTGGCGAGCCTGTCGCCAGGGCTTTGAATGCTCGAGCTGACCGTGTGGCACGTTCTTGTGCAGGGCGGCGTGCCTCTGGCTCCAGACGTGAAGCGTGTGCGCATCTTCGTGAAGCCGCTTGTGCTTGGGAGGAGCAGGCCTTGCAGTCCTTGACAAAGACTGCTCATCGTTGGATGGAGGCCTAGTCGGGCGGCGATCGGTCGGCTACGACTTTGGCATCGCGCCGGCCACTACAAATTCTAAAAGCCACTTGGAGGTCGGGCGCTTGTTGCTGGAAGCTGGTGCGGCAAGAGACTGCGCAGAACATGAGGGCAATACGGGTCTAATGCTAGCATCCGAAAAGGGTCATTTGGAGATTGCACCGTTGATGCTTCACGCCGGTGCTCCAAAAAATTGGGCAAACGAATTCGGCCGCACAGCCCGAATGCTCGCGTCCGAAAGTGGTCACTTGGAGGTTGCGCGTTTGCTGCAAAGAGCTGGTGCTTCTTCCGGTGATGGTCGTTCCAACGCACGCGTCTCTAGCTTTGCTCGTCTGCTCCTCCATGCAGTGCTGTAAAAGGATTCCTGCGGCCGTAAACCATGGCCCGACGCCACTATCCCCTAATTGAAACTGAAGCATACAACAAGTGTCACACTTTTTGCTTTCAGCACCAGGCCCAGAGATTACTGAAGCCCCGCACGATTTAGGGCTCAAAAGTCCGAAGTTCCAGAGTTGTGGGCTCGGGGTTGTGGGTTCGAGAGTTGGGGTCTTCTCATCTCTAGCCCGTCACGATTGATTTCCGACTTCCCAATTTCAGTTGGATGAGTGCCTCTGTTTGTCCGTTTGTCTGTCTGTGTGTTGGTCCGTTGGATGTCAATTACATCATGAGGCACCATCCGTTCCCATCATTTGGTACGGATGGTCTTTTGCGGCCCAATTCCATGACGGTAGTAACCCGGTAGCATATATGGACCGGCTGGAAGAATGATGTAGATAGGGTACATAATTTCTCCGTATTTCCAATTAATTATCTAGGCCCCCAGCCATTGCAAGTTACACGTAGGATCTTCAGCGCAGGCGTTGAGCAAAGGCTTCGTGGTAAAATCTGGCATGCAGAAGAGTGTGATGAGCCGCTGGGATGCACAGACTCGGGGAGTTTCGAAGGTTACGGGTGATCTTGCTGTCGGTTTCAAGCGGCTGGGGAGACTATAGTTGCGAAGACAGTATTGAGACGGCTGGAAGTCGCTGGGCCTGGAGGCCTATCTAGGTCTCCAAGCTAGATCCCACGCGAAAGATCGGTACAAGCCAGGATTACATTACAAGCTTTAAGGCCCCCGGTTTATGGTTTCGAGTGTGACTTCATGGCTGGGCAAGAGTTTGAGTGCATGGTTTCCGTTCCACAGTGCAGGTCGTCGGCTTTGCTTCGCAATGATTTCCTGTAAGGCATCTGTTGAAAACAGGGTACGGAGCCATGGCAAGCCAGAGACCGTCCCACGATTTCATCACAGCAGCCCAGAGTTTTAAGGGCTTAGGGCTTCAGGTGGAGGGGTGGACGGTTTGCTGTTCGGGGACCGACGGTTCCTCGCTCGGTGCAGCTTTTTCCATGCCTCAGCGAAAGGCGAGCGTGACGTGCAGCTGGCCTGCGATTCCTCGTTCATCATCAAGGTGTCTTGATGACTGGGAGCGCTTTCGCCTTTTTCTGGCTGCAGAGCAGAGCCCCACCCTCTGCATCAGAAGCCAGGACTTCATTTCCACAGACATGGGATGTAAAACCCTCCACCTCTTCCTGGTGACCCTAGTGGCTGAAGCCGTTCGTCGGCAGCTTGAACACTCCAGAAAACCGCTAATCTCCGGTCTTCAGACGATAGGATGTTCAGCAACCAAGGTCTACGAGACCTTCAACAGCCTTTGGCTCAGTGCTCGCGAGGGTTCACCTCGAGCTTCGAGATGTCTTTCGGGCCTTGGAGTTCAGGGCTTACTGGGTTTACGCAAGGAGGAGCTAGGGTCTAGGGTTTAGGGCTTGATCCATAGATCCGCAGCCCATGAAGTAAGAGGCGACACCGAAAACGGAGGTGAAGAACAGAGTAAACTTAGCAGAGTGCGCTGTGTGTAAAGCCAGAATTTAATGCGCCCCGTTCCTTGGACCGTACCTCTCCGCATCCTGGGAAGCACAGCGACGTGGATGCCCAGGTTCGGAGCATCTGTACTTTCTGTTGGAGTGTGCGCTGGGCGGCGAGCTCTATGCAGCTTGTACGTACAGAAGGATCGTTGCAGATACCGCCTCAGAATCGCTGTGCACCCTAAACCCTTAACACCATCTTCCACGAAACTTGGACTCCCTAGGTATTGCGTCCTACGAGTCCTCAACTAAAACTTTGTTCCGAATGCTTTTATCCTTCATCCTAAGCCCTGCTAAACTCAAAACCCCAAGCCCAAAGGCCTCAACTCGGACGTACTTCAACATCCACGGGATGTAACCCGAAACCCTATACCTTAAACCCTAAGACTTAAACCTTAAACCCAAACCTACCAGGATGCAAGGCCCCTGAATCCAAAGGCCAGACACAGAAGACTCGGACTTTCAGGGATTTGGGGTTTAAGGGTTTAGGGTTTTGGGTTTAGCGGTTTGTGACAGCGGCTTAGGGGTTTAAGGATCGCGGTCCCTGGAAGTCGGGAGGAGCGTAGCGTTGATTCTGCCTGTTTGTTGCTCTTCTCTGGTGTTCTCACGGTATATGGCAGGCTCTGCCGTCCGGATCCTAGAAACTCCCGGACCCCATGCCCTCGGATCCGTTGTAGGGTCGTTTATGTCTTACACTGAAATTCCCCACAGGAATCTATGGTGGGAGCCAGAAATGTGGCAAATCACTAACGCAAACCACAGGCCTTAAAAAATAAAGGAAGGCCACGTTCAATGATGCTAATTGGTGTCCCGGCAGCAACCCGAAACCCTAAACTCCAAACCCGAAACCCGAAGCCCGACCTCTTCAACCTGAACCTTTCAGCTTTGCTCGCCTCAAGCTTGGCATCTCTTCCGAGAATTTATGTAGGACATTACACTTCGGTGCGGCTTTGTCCTTTGCTTTGTTGTCAAAGTTGGAGACAGTCGAATCAGGATAGTTTAGGGCTTACTACATGCAATCCCTGAGCCCAAGTGCGGCCCGGAAAAAGCCTTGCTTCCTCTCGAGGCAACTTACAACAAGAAAGGTCTCACAGGCAAGGAGGGCCATGCAAAGTTCTACGTGGCCGGAGTCGCTTCATGACTGCATTGTTGCGGGTTTAGGGTGTAGGGTGCACGGTTGCGAGGGCTGAGGGATTAGGGAGTTTAGTTCTTCCTCTGATAGTTGACGCCTGATGCATGATGATAGCCAAACAAGCCGCCCAACAAGCTTACCAAATCCAAACAATTCCTGGGCAGTGATGATATGCTGGTGTTGATGGCAATGACAGTGACAGTCATTGCGATTGCATGAAGCTAAGATGATGATGTTGTTGACGATGATGATGGTGATGGCCTTGAAAATGTTAATGATGGTGGTGACGCTGGTTATGCTGATGTTGTTGGTCGTATCGATGATGATAGTAGTGGTGGTGATGGTGGTGGTGGCGGTGGTGGTGGTGGAGGTGGCGAGACGATGAAGGGAGAGTATTGTTTTGTTTGTTTTGGTAGGGGGGGGGGGGAGCGGGGGGTGTATCTCGAGAAGGAAAATAAAGATCATAAGGGTAATCCTGATGATGGTGAGCGCGAGGAATGAATCTGATGCCGATGCCGATTGGGTTGCGGATCGATCAAGGTGAGAATGATGATGATGGTGTTGTTGTTGTTGTTGTTGTTGTTGATAATGATGATGTTGGCGATGATGATGATGATGATGATGATGTTGTTGGTGTGTTGAGGCTGTTGATGAGTGTGAGGATGGCCATGGTAATGAGCCATGACCCGAGATGATGCGCAGGATGATGAAAATGACGATGACGGTGAGTAAGCGACGGCGGTGATGGCGATGAAGGTGGTGATGATGGCGAGATTGTGTCTATTGTGATTGTGATGCGGCAGATTCTGGATTTGGACTTCGACTATGTTGGGTGTGATTAACCAATGATGGGGACGTTGATGTGATGTGGCTGATGGGTGGTATTCTGACGATGATGATGGCGATGATGACTCATCAGACTGCGCAGCAATGACGATGAAAGAGGCAGCAGGCTGTCATGAGGATGAATATGACAAGGATGGTAAGGTTGAGGCTGACGACAGATAAACAGGCGGGTGACTACAGCGATGACGACGACGATGGCGATGGCAACGATAATGCTCATGCTCATTACTGTGTCGATGAAAATGACGACGATAGCAAGAGTGACAATTCAGGTTCACAGATGGCGGTGACTGTACTACAAAAGTATTGCCAGCGATAAGAGAAAACTAGTGACTAGTATTGGTCAGAGAAGCTCGAAAAGAACTTCCGAAGCCCAGGTTGTTGCCTTCGAGCACTTGCACAGCTACTTGGTGTGCAGCTGTGCATAATGTCTTGTTGTACCAGACGGCCTTGCGGAAACCAGCCTGCATTGCTTCAGTTTGGTGCGACTTTCTGCCCCCAAACTTGACGGCAGCGATGAGAGACAGTCTCGATTCCCAACCCCTCAGCCCAGTCTTTGAGACGTCTCACGAATGCAAAGCCCTGTGCTCCTGCCGCTGCCTTTGACTACCAGATTAGGGTGAATAGTGAGGTCCTCTATTAACAATAACAGATCCCGCCAGAAAGGAAGCACCTCCAGTTTTGCACCCGTCTTCAGAACCCTAAACCTCCCACGATTTTTTCAACAACTCTTCCCAACTCCCTGATAGACCCCCTCTGGAATCCTGATACGTGTAGGACCGTCCTCTGAAGCTCACCTCTGAGGCAAGAAAATCGTGTTCCGAGATCTGAAGCCAGAGCCTCTCGGCAGAGAGCCATACCCAAAATGCCCAAGACCACTCTTTCCCCCAACCCTAAACCCCTAAACCGCCTAAACCCCTAAACCCTAAACCCTCATCCCACCCTGAACCTTAAAAGCCGAAACGGTGGAAGCCAAGAAGCTTCAGCGGTAAACCCTAAGACCAACAAGGCAACCCACACCGCCCCACAACCCACATCCCAAAGCCCTGGAACCATCCCTTCAACTTAAAGCCCAAGCCCACCCTCCAACCCCCACACCTCACCCCAAGGCCCTCAAAGAACCCCCCGTCTAAGAATCGAAGTCCGAACCGACCACAGTGTTTGCAGAAACCTGCTCCTCAACGATCACGGCCATCTGAAGCTCACTGACATGGGTTTGGCCAAGGCCCGTGACCCTCCTGGGTTTAGAAGTTTTAGGGGCTTAGGGGTTTAGGGTTTAGGGTTCAGGGTTTTGAGGATCTCTAAACAGGGTTTTGTAGGGTTTGAAGGGATTGTGCTCTAGCGTTGTAAGGCTTTTGTCTGTTTATTGGGGCCGAGCTCTACGGGTTTCCCGGATTATTTGGGAGTTTCGGGCTTTAGGTGTGGAGGAGCCCTCAGGCCTCAGATGTTGCCCATTCGGCTCGAGGATTTCGAAAAAGTTGAGGCTGGGCTCGAAGGGTTGAAGGCTTCCGGAAGGAGTTTTGCAAGTCAGCTTAGGACAAACTTCGGTCGTTTTCCGGGTTTAGGCCCTGTGGAGTTTGTCCGAGCATCGGTGGCTTTAGGTTGCAGGGTTCGAGTGCTAGGCTTGGGGCGAGGACCCTAGTGCCTGGCTCCGCTCCTTCAGAAGGTGATCTTGGGAGAAAAGAATCAAGATGGGCTTTGGGACTAGCTCAGCAAGGTGTCTAAGCTTTGGGATGGGGGAGGGCAGATTGTTGCGGGGCTTCAGCTAATCTATGGGGGATTCAACCGAGCCGCTGGCAAGATTGGAGTCACATTCTGGGAATTTGGACCCACAGCCTGGCCCTAGAGTGGTGATGGCGTAGTTAGGCTTTACCAGGTTGCAGCCTTACCAAGCTAGCCCACGCGACGGCTTCGATGTCCGTGAGTTCTAGGACACCAGTACGCTTTTGAGTGTGATTCCAACAGCATTCTCCATGTCACACGCGCCCTGGCAGGCCTTGCGACCTGCTTTCCAACAAAACTATCGAACCACTCAGCATGCGAAGGATCCTTGACAAAGCAATCACGAAGGCTACACAGCGTTGCTAGGCATGCCATTATCCACCATGGCCACAAGAGAACGATGATAACAATCAGCAACAACCATTGTATCATAACCTCCGGCTCTACGTTCCGAACGTGCCGAACACATCCTCAACCCGGGATCCAGGTGGTCATTGGCAAGACCTTTACCACATGTCTTCTTGGCCGCGTTTAGCGGGATTAAAGTAGTATTTTGTGGTTTCGTGATTAAGAGTATATTGGCCGCGCTTAGAAAGGGGCGGGTTTTCGCACCATTGAGACGACGAGAGGACAGGCACAGGATTTCGGAGGTGACTGTGTCGGAGGAGAGTGTCGATTTCAATTAAGACCAGCAAGAGCTGTCTACACACAAAAACCACCACACATACTCCCCGGGAGATGGATGCATGCAGTAACTTAGCGGTTTTGCGGGAGATCTCTCTGTTGTGGGCTTTCCCTGTAACAGCAAGGCCCTTCAAGGCTGTCGGTCTTCTTTTTCGTTTACACTTATGCGTCGGAAGGGGCCCCAATGCAACAATCCAGTTGCAGAAAACACATCATAAACATAGATTATGTTATAGTATAGGCATAGTACAATGTAGTATTTATTTGGCAGTATAGGTTAGTGTTTTGTAGCAAATGAGCGGAGATGCGGAGCAGAAGGAGAAATAGTTGCGGGCATTCAGTCCAGACTTCCCAAGGCTCGCAGCCATCAACCCTTGGAAGTGTCCTCCGCATGCAACCTTTTCCAGCTCGATCAGCAGTCAACTAGTGCTGTATTCATTTTGCCTCGAGAAGGGTGTGATACTAGTACTACTACTACTACTACTACTACGACGACGACGACGACGTCGACGACTACTACTACTACCACCACCACTCCAGAATGTTTAGGGAGCGATCGTGACCTGTTGAGCGCTTGGACGCAGAGTTCTCAGCCCACAGCTTCACTCCATTGAGGATGTTCCGGGCATGGGTCGTTTGAAGGTTCTCAGTGGGAGGCTTTGGCTTTGGGCCGCGGCTTCCACTGCAGCAGAGGTGGCACTCCGGACTACTTTGCGCCCGAGATGATTGCACCTTGCTTGAAAGCGAATTATGAGGTCCGTGCGTCTGGGTATCATCATCAGATGCTGTTCACCCTAACACGCTGTTGGAGCTTGGTGCTCAAAAATAACTTGAAGCTTCGAGCTTTGGGTTTACGTTCTAGGGGTCACCCAAGTGCTTGTAGTGAGCTCCCTCAACCAGCTGCGAGACCTCTCGAAACCATGTATTGTGACTCGCAAGCTACATGCTCTTTTCGGATCAGGCCTCAAAGGGGCACACCTTGGCCGTCGACTGGTGGACCCTGGGTGTGCTGGGCTACGAGCTCATGTGCGGGCCGCTTGGAGAAGCCCCAAGGGTTCAGCTGAGACTCGAGGGACTTTGGCCGAATCCCCGAACCCTAAACCCTCGGGCCTTAACCCTGAGCCTCTTCGGGTTTGATAGGCCTCTAAACCTCAAGCCCCTTCACAGGGCTTTTTAAGTCCCCACCAAACGTAGGTCTCAGGGCTGGGGATCTTCTGAGCCGTTTGTAGTCTCTTCCTCGTCTTCTTGAACTCAGGGATTGCCTCTACCCTAAGCTCTAAGCCAAAACTCCACACTGGTTTCCCATAATTACTCTCTGTGGGGATAGGGAACTTTGCCTTCTGCGCCTGTTTGCGTTCGCACAATGCGGGAGCCTTCAACATCCTCCGCGGAAGCTGCGGAAGGTACTTGGGCGAAGAGGGAGTTGGGACTTAGCTTTTAGCCGGTATCTGTAATGTCACCATTCTCCGAAGTGCGACATATCAGCCGCACCCTAGACCCTACCTACGCATACAAGGGTGACTATCCGCAGGCTCATAGCCACGAGATGTCAAGTCAGGCTTTGTTCCGCATGCTTTTTTGACGTTCATATTTGCTGCAATCATTCCCGAAACGTTGTTGGAATTGCTACGGCCCCGGTGCTAGTCTCGTAATAATGGAGCCAAGACAGATCGGCATGGTGTGCAACCCTTCATCCTGGTCCACATCGAATTAACATGCTGGGGAATAGGGAGTGGAACTGCGACCTGATTGTATGTCTTAAACAGTTATGATTCAATGATTCGCGAGGTACTAGGTTACTAGGTTCGCGTATTTGAGGGAAATCGGCAATTGCAGACCTTCGTGCGTGGATTGCTTCGCAAACCACAGTAAGCATAAAACCAGACAAAGAGCGGTAAGGACACTCGGAGACCTGACAAAAGTAACAAAGCAGAGTAGCCAAGGTAGCTCGCGAGAATGCCAGTCGCCCTGAATCGTGGGGGTATGCTCTGTAAAGCCCATGAAATCGTCTAATAAGGGACCTTTAGATAGGCATGAAGCACAACTTCAGGAACCCACCTTTCGAAGCTGAGCAAGTTATGCAGACGTACCAGAAGGCCTGCTGACTCGGCTTGAAGGCTCAGTCTCTTTCAAAGGGTTATGCGGTTGGGTGATTTTTGATCCCCCGATGCTGAGGTTTAGAGGCTTTAGAGCTTGAAGATCACTAAACCGGAACTGATTTTGCGCTTGGGGTTTGCGAGTTTCTGGTGCTTGGCCTTCTTGAGTTGAAGGCTGTAGGGTTGATGATCCGGGGTTTGTTGTGTTAGGTTTCATCACGTAGGGACTGGAGTCTGCAAGTGGGGTGGAGAGTGCATGACAAGTCAGACTGTCCCGTGAACGCCTGCAGATCAAGAAGGGCATCGCGCAGGCACGGCCGCGGAAAATCCACCGGATTTCGGCTTCAGGATTTACGTTGTTGAAAAGTTGGAAGTACAACTTCCTGAGCACAAGGCCGTGAAAACTAAACCCCGAAGGAAAGCACTCACCCTAAACCCTAAACCCTAAATCTCAAGAGCAAAGGCACGCGACGCCCCGAATTCACCTCCCATGTTGAATCCAAGAGTCGCCCGAAGCCCGAAGAGAAGGGTCCCTGCAGCTTGCCACCCCATGCAAGAGTTAGGGTTTAGGGCTTAGGGGTTTGATATTTTTATTTTCTGCACGGACGCACAGCAAGAGGCTAGATTTCCTGGGTTTGAGCCGAATCAGCATTCAAGCTCATGACACGCGGCACAGGTGCTTGCATAACTGAAAAAGCAGTCTGGGACTCCCGTATACTAGAACCAGTGTGTGGATAGAAGGGTAGCCGCGTACTGCTAGCCGAAAGCTTAAAGTTTGCGCCATAAAATAGAAACATAGGCCTGAAACTAAGAACGGCATGCACTTCTGATTCAGAAACATCGACGATCTCGAAGTAGATGTTAAGTCACAATCCTATTCAGGGCTAAACCTCAAACTAATTGCACTCCGGCAAATACCCAAAACACGGCGTCGGAATGATTAGCAATACATGCCCGGTAATAAAGT